TTTTTTTTTTTTTTCTCCATAGGTAAGATAAGAAGCTTGTAGGGTGAAGTATTTCTTAAGTCTTATTTTCCTTTCTGAAAGTGGGGACGATACAATATGCCCTGTTAATTTCTCCCAAGAATTGTTGAGTATTAAAGAAGATATTTGCAGTTGTATGTACATGTATGTAGCATCACAAGTCCCTATGTGGTACAAATGATTTGCAATCACTTGCTCACTAAAAGGTTGGTGGTTCCAACCCACCCAATAGCACCACGGAAGAAAGGTCTGGTGACCTGCTTCTGTAAAGATTACAGCCAAGAAAAACATTCAGTTAGTCAGAATCAACTTGATGGCAGTGTTTTTTGTTTTTTTTTCTTTCTGGGTGTCTAGCAGATAGAAGCTCAGAAAGGTGTAGTACAATAATTTTAGTATCCATTGATTCTTGCCTTAGTCAGTTATTCTATGTTGATTGTAACATGTTGAGTTTCTAACCCTTTCATTATGTCTACATTTATTAGTTGGATCTCTACTGTAAGGAAGAGCATTTTTTTTTTTTTTTGCCTGTTTTTATTTTTTTGAGTATCATTTTGGACTAATGAATTCTTTTAATTCATTGCATTATAAACCACTACTAACTATTCTTTTTGTGTGTGTGTGTACTTTAGGTGAAAATTAACAGCTCAAGTTAATTTCTCATTCAAAAATTTATAAATATATTGTTTTGTGACATTGGTTGCAATCGCAATGAGACAGCACGCTTCCCCTTTCCACTCTGGGTTCCCCGTGTCCATTCATCCAGTTCCTGTTCCTTCCTGCCTTCTGTTCCCGCTTTTAGACAGGAACTGCCCATTTGGTTTTGTATATTTGATTGAACTAAGAAGCACATTCCTCATGTATTTTTTTGTTTTCTAGGCCTGTCTGATCTTTGTCTGAAAAGTGGTCTTTGGGGATGGTTTCAGTTATGGGTTAGTAGAGTGTCTGGGGGCCATAGTTTTGGGAGTTCCTCCAGTCTCTGTGAGACCAGTAAGCCTGGTCTTTTTACGTGAATTTGAATTCTGTTCTACATTTTTCTCCTCCTCTATCTGGAACTCTCTGTTGTGATCCCTGTCAGGGCAGTCATTGGTGGTAGTCGGGCACCATCTAGTGCTGGTCTAAGGCTGGTAGAGTCTCTGGTTCATGTGGTCCTTTAGTGCTTTGGGCTAATATTTTCCTTGTGTCTTTGGTTTTCTTCATTCTCCTTTGCTCCATGTGGGATGGGACCAATAGATGTATCTTAAGACCCCAGACGCTACTCACAAAAGTGGGATATTGGACATTTTCTTTATGAACTATGTTATGCCAATTGACCTAGATGTCCCCCAAGACTATGGTCCCTAGGCCCCAGCCCCAGCTACTTGGTCTCTCAGAGTGTTTGGATGAGTCTAGGAAACATCTGTGCTTTTGCTTTGGTCCAGTTGTGCTGACCTCCCCTATATTGTGTGTTGTCCTTCCCTTCACTGAAGTTGACACTTGTCTACTGTCTAGTTTGTGATTTCTCCTGTCTTCGTTCCCACCCTCGTAACTACCAAAGAATGCTTTTTTCCATGTTTAAAACTTTTCTTGAGTTCTTACAATAGTGGTCTGATACAATATTTGTCCTTTTGTGATTGACTTATTTCTCTCAGCGTAATGCCCTCCAGATTCATCCATGTTGTGAGATGTTTCACGGATTCATCATTGTTCTTTATCATTGCCTAGTATTCCATTGTGTGTATGTACCATAATTTATCCACTCATCTGTTGATGGGCATTTAGGTTGTTTCCATCTTTTTGCTATTGTGAATAGTGCTGCAGTGAACATGGGTGTGCCTGTTTTTCTTATTTCTCTCAGGTATATTCCTAGGAGTGGGGTTGCTGAATCATGTGGTATTTCTATGTCTAGCTTTTTAAGGAAGTGCCATACCATTTTCAAAAGTGGTTGTACCATTTTACATTCCCACCAGCAATGCATAAGAGTTCAAATCTCCCCACAACCTCTCCAACATTTGTTATTTTGTGTTTGTTGGATCAGAGCCAGTATTGTCAGTGTGAGATGGTATCTCAATGTAGTTTGATTTACATTTTTCTAATGGCTAATGATCGCGAGCATTTCCTCATGTGTCTGTTAGCCACCTGGATGTCTTCTTTGGTGAAGTGTCTGTTAATGTCCTTTGCCTGTTGTTTGATTGGGTTAACTATTCATTTTGATGCTCACATTTTACTGATTTGGCCAGTGGGTGCTCCTTCATGTTGGCTCCTAGGTCCTTTTGATATGTTTCAATAATTTTTTGAGCACTTCCTTATTTTCTGACACAGGATGATCCAGGCTCATCTTATATTTTCCTTAGCTCAGCCCTGGAATCAGCCATTTCTCCAAGGAGCCCACTAGATGTTCATATTGATACTGGGGTGTCCTTCCTTCTAGGCATTTTTAGCAGACAGAGCTAGGAAATATTTATACATATATGTGTGTAAATTTATGTAGGGTATATATAAATACAGTCGTGTCGCTTAACATCCACAATATTTTGTGAAATAGGATGTTATGTGATTTGGACATTGTGTGAACACAACATTACAGGCAGTCCCCGGGTTATGAACATCTGACTTACAGACAGCTCATACTTAAGAATGGACTGCCATGAAGCCTATTATATTAAAAAATTGAGTTAAATACACATGGTATTGCAGTCACATTGTATATAAGAGATATAACGTGTTGCATGTGAAAAACTGTTGCGTTGCCTACATCCAGTTACATCTGCTATGTCCTGTCCTGTTCTCCGATTGTGATTTCTGAACTCTATTATAACCTTATGGGACTGCAGTTGTATATGTGGCCATACGTTGCCCGAACGGATGTTATGCAGTGCATGCCTATATGTGTGTGTGTGTGTGTGTGTGTGTGTGTGTGTGTGTGTATAAATATAAATAAATATATATATAAAAATCCTGAGTTCACACTGACACTTTTAATTCCAATCCAACACCACAGATCCTTTGCTGTCCACATTCCATATGTAAATCTTTCTTTTCCCACAGTGAGAAACTTGGGTCCCATTATCCTCAATATATTTTACTTATTTACTCAAATCTACAATAAAACATTTCAGAATTGCTACAACCATACCACTATCAACCATAAATATTTTCAAGTAAAGTACTAGATTTTTTTTTTTTTTTTGGTAGTTCTTTTTGCTTTCAAACTGAAGATACACGGTCAAGTTACTTGGATTAGTAACTGAGTGGTTATGTTATCAATCTGATAGTGTTCGAGTCTTTGTTTCTATTTGTAGACCACTTCAGAGGTTTCCTCATCCTTGTTAACTTGATTTTACTGAGGGTGTAAAGCATTAACAGTTATATCAGGACTGATTTTAAATGGTTTCAGTATATAGGCCAGCCCTTGGTGTTCCCTTCCCGGCTGCCCCCATGGGGTGTGCTTTCCTCTATGGTTAGAGCCCTGGGTCCTCCCACCACTGATGACCTTCCCTTGTTCCAGGCTCTTAGCTCCAAATTGACCTAAACCAATATGTGACTAATATCCATTTTCCACCAGCGACCCCACCATTCCAGGTAGCCAGGCTCCCACCCTTGGAATTTTTTTTTTTTTTTTGCGCTCTCTTGGCCCTTAGGAAATCTCCTCTCTCCAGTCACCATCCTAGTTGGACTCTGGGCCCTTTTTCAGCAGTCTCCCCACTGGTCTCTCTATCCTGTGGCCTCCCCTTAAACAGGAAATCCTATCCTCAGCTAGAAGACTAACTCTGGGTCCAGATTGTGTCACATTCCCCTGCTGTAGCACTTCCAGTGGCTAGCACCTTCTTCTGCAAAGCCCTTAGCTCTGTCCTTCCCTTGCTTGCCTGGTTTTTTGAGCCCACAGTACAGTTACCTCTACATTGAAACACCCTTTTGCTTCAAATGGTCCTAATCTCCTCATGCACAGAGGTCTGACTTCTTGATTAGTTCCTCCCAACTCTTTAGCTCAAACTGATTCTTCTTATAGCAGGTATTTTTTTTAAGGACCTGATCGTGCATTTCTTTTTTTTTGTCTTCTTCTCCCTTGCCCTTAATTTTGTCTTCCCAACTAGGTGGTGAGCTTCTGGGAGGCCAGAGAGTCTATTTGACCAAAGGTTCTTTTGTACTCCTTTTGGCACCTAGAACAGAACCATCCGAAAGACTGCAAGCCACTGGAAACGGGAAGGGTAGTGTGGTGGACTGCTGGGCTTTTAGAGGCCTCCTGAAAAAGAATCAGGTTGATCTGCTTGTGGCTCAACAGCTTAACATTGTCTGACCAATCCAGTATCTAAGGTCAACAAAGCTAGGATTTGTACCCTGCCTTGGGGATGACCCTGCCATATAGTCCATATAAAAACAATAGTAGACACAAGCTATTGATTTTTTGGAAGAAGGGGCTTAAGAAGTGTTTCACCAGGTTGTGAAATCTGAATGCTGAGAAGGGCTTGTGCCTGGGGCTGCAGTTGGAGGTAGAGGAAACTCAACCTGGGAAAGCTCCTGGGAAGTCTTGAAACAGAGATGGTGGGGAAAGTCCCATCCAGAAACCCAGCTGACCAAGGAAACATGAAGCTGCAAGACCTTGGAAGCTTTGTCAAGTGGACCAGCCTCCATGGACGACAGAATGCCTTGAGAATGTGGCAGTGAGTATTCACATTGACTGCTGTGCAGGAATACCATTCACAAGCAGTGTTCTCCCCTTA